ATAATAAACCGCTGGAAGGCAAATGATTATGTGCAGAATGTTTATCGGAAGCAGCCGGAACATCTAATCCTTCAACTGAGTTTATGCAGTTCATAAAACAAGCGGTGACTCAGGGCATTAAGGAAGCAGGTACAAGAACCAAAAGACCCCGGTTACATGACCCTTCAGATTACCAACAAAACGATTCATCAGACGAGTCCATGGATATGGAGTCATACCAAGGAAATTTCTTATCTTCGGAAGAAGAAGAAACTCAGGCTCCTCCAGATTTTCTAGAACCTGCTCAAATAGATCACCTTATTTATAAAGTCCGTAAATCTTTGAGTTTGAAAGTGGCAGTTACAGAGCAGTCAACTTCTTATCGTTACTTCACAGACTTGAGAAAGAAAAGAGCAACCTTTCCAGTACATGATACAATCAAGGAATTAATTAAGGACGAATGGTCCATATCTGATAAAAAGCTTTCAGCACAAGGCAGAATCTCTCGCCTCTATCCTTTTGACAAATCTGATTCATACCATTGGGATAACGCCCCTAAGGTGGATGCTGCAGTAGTTAGACTCGCAAAGCATACCACATTACCAGTTGATGATGCAGGCTCATTCAGACACCCAATGGACAAGAAGATGGACTTACATCTTTCAAAAGCATATGTAGCAGCAGGTACTGGTTTTCACCCTGCAATAGCCCTTACATCAGTTTCCAGGGCCTTGAAAATCTGGATCGAGAATTTGGAAGAAGATATCAGAGATGGGAGAAACAGATCTTCTCTTCTGGAAAGGTTAAATGATATTAAACTGGCCGTTGACTTTACCTCAGAATCCTCGGTGGATATGGTGAAAGCTCTAGCAAGAAACATGGTTCTCTCAATATCAGCTAGAAGAACTTTGTGGCTGAGATCTTGGTCCGCAGACTCATCATCAAAGTCTAGTCTATGTGCCCTTCCTTTTCATGGTGAGATGCTGTTTGGTAAAAATCTAGACAAGTGTATCAAAAGAGCTGCAGAAGGGAAAAGAGCTTTTCTCCCACAAGACCGGAAAACCTGTGGATCCTTTTGAGCCAGAAGGTACTCTGAATACCCCTCCTTTCGAGATACCAGATCATATAAACCTGGAAGAGAATATGGAAGATCTATTCCATGGAGAGGAGGACATTCTTCCAGCAGAGGAGGTAAATCCAGGGGTTCTTCATTCCACAAGAAGCCTTTATGACAAATTCATTTCCCAATCTGGAGGAGTAGGTGCCCATCTACTACTATTTCAGAATATGTGGAAACATTCAACTCGAGACAGATGGGTGCTGGATATCATACAAAGAGGTTATCTCATAGAGTTCTCCAGAATACCGCCGCCTCGCTCCTTCCAGAAGACAAACTGGCCAAGAGATATAGAAAAAAGAAACAACCTAAAAAAGTTTATCTCATCCCTTCAAGAAGATGGAGTTATCGTTCAAGTTCCACGGGCTCAACAGACACGTGGGTATTACTCCCATATTTTTCTCACCAGAAAATCCACAGGGGGATGGAGGCCAATATTAGACCTAAGCAGGTTAAACAAGTTCCTAAACATAAGAAAATTCAAGATGGAGTCCCTTCAATCCATTGTGAAAGCAGTTTTTCCAGAACAGTGGCTCATGCCAATAGACCTGGCAGATGCGTATTTCCATATTCCCATAGCACCCCAGCATCAGAAATTCCTCAGATTCGCTGTGGAAGAGGGTCATTTTCAGTTCTGTGCTCTCCCTTATGGCCTAAGCACTGCGCCACGTTCTTTCTCAAAAGTTCTGGTGGTTCTAATGGCAGAACTCAGGAAGAAAGGCATCGCAATATATCATTACCTAGACGGCATCTTGATTCTGGCAGAAAGCAGAGATATCCTAGAAAATCACGGCCTAGTATGTATGCAGTTTCTTCAACAACACGGTTGGAAGATCAATATCTCCAAAAGCAACCTGAACCCATCTCAGAGCATGATATACCTAGGAGCATCATTAAACACTGCAAAAGGTTTAGTTCAACTGTCCCCAGAAAGGGGTGTGAAAATTCAGAGAAAGGTCAAAGACATGCTGGCATTCAGTGTTTCCTCGGCAGAGAAAACTATGAGCCTCCTGGGATCAATGTCCTCCACCATAGGACTAACAAGATGGGCCCAATGGAGGATGAGACCTTTTCAAAGAAATTTCCTTTATCAATTCAAAGGGGGGAATCTGTCTCAGCCTATAAGTATCCCTCCTCACGTACAAAAATCCCTGAAGTGGTGGACTCAGAAGGAGTCTCTCTTCAGAGGTTTTCCCTTAGGAAATATCCAATGGACCATTATCACCACAGATGCCAGTCAATGGGGTTGGGGAGCCCATCTTTAGGACAACTATGTCCAAGGGAAGTGGTCATTTTCGACTTCCTATACTCCTTCGAATCTCCTAGAGCTTCTGGCAGTTTTCAAGGCTCTAAAGCACTTCCAACTTCTACTCCACAAGTGGGTCAAAATCAGGACAGACAATGCCACGGTGGTCGCATATATAAATCATCAAGGAGGGACAAGGAGTTGCAGAATGATGAAAATAATGAAACCTCTGATGTCCTGGGCACAAATAAATTTGGAGAGCATCTCTCCAATACATCTCCCAGGAACACAGAACTCAGTAGCAGACTTTCTCAGCAGGGTAAGATTAGACCCAGGGGAATGGAGTCTATCAAACTAAATATTCCTACAGATTGCACAAAAATGGGGTCCACAAATAGATCTGATGGCAACAAGCAACAACAGGAAGGTAAAGAATTTCTTCTTAAGAATTCCAGATCCCCAAGCCATAGGAAGGGACGCATTGACATGCATTTGGGACTTCGACCTGACTTAAGCCTTCCCTCCGAATCCTCTCATCTTTCCTCTACTAAGGAGACTACAACAAGAGAAGGCATCACTGATTCTGATAGCCCCTTTTTGGCCACGCAGACCTTGGTCTCCGCTCCTACTAAGTCTATGCAAGGAAGACCCGTGGCGTCTTCCAGTTGTTCCATTTCTGCTATAACAGGGTCCAATTCTTCACCCAAACCCAGCATCCCTTCATCTGATGGCATGGTACTTGAAAGGGAGGGGTTAAAGAACAAGGGGTTTTCAAGATCAGTAATTGAGACTCTTCTTTAAGCAAGGAAGAATTCCACTTCATCCACTTATTACAGAATCTGGGATGTATTCTCTTCATGGGCCAGTTCAAGACCTTTGGATATTCTGAATCCTTCAACCACTGATATTCTTGATTTTCTACAATCTGGCCTGGAGCAAGGATTGAGGTATAATACTTTGAAAGTCCATATTTCAGCCCTCTCTGCTTTAACCAATCATAAATGGGCATTGGACTCGGACATAGCAAGATTTCTGACTGCAGTCTTAAAAATCAAGCCCCCCATTAAGTCTATTACTCCTCCATGGGATCTCCCTCTGGTCCTTAAGGCTCTTAAATCGGATCCTTTTGAACCATTGGAATCAATTTCCTGTCATCGTCTCACGATCAAGACAGTTCTATTGGTAGCCCTAGCCTCTGGTAGAAGGGTATTTGATCTTCAGGCTCTTTTGGCTCAAGAACTTTTTACTATATTTCATAAGGACAGAGTCATCCTAAGAACTGTTCCAGAATTCCGCCCTAAGTTGACTTCGGAGTTCCATATAAATTAAGAAATAGTTCTTCCAGCATTAAGTTCAGAAGAAACAAATAACGGAGAAGACGCTGATTGGAAGGCTATCGACTTAGTGAGGTGTCTCAAGATATATATACAAAGATCCTCAGAATGGCGTAGTTCTGAAAGGCTTTTTGTTATTCCTAATGGCCCTAGGAAGGGTCTCCAAGCTTCGAAAGCCATTCTCAGTAGATGGATAGTTTCGGCTATTATCCAATCTTATCGAGCATCTAAAACAAGTATTCCTGAAGGTTTGAAAGCACACTCTACACGTTCTCTCTCTTCATCCTGGGCAGCTGCAGCAAAGGTTTCTGTAGAACTTATTTGCAAAGCATCCACTTGGTTATCTTCTAATACATTTATCAGACATTATCGTTTAGACGTAAGAGCTGGTCAATACGATGAATTTGGCAGATCGGTTCTTTCTGCTTCAAACGATTAATTCTCTTATATTGTTCGTCACATGTGGTTGATTGTGATAATACACTTGCATTATATAATAATTTGTCTGAGTTTTTCTTTTCCCTCCCTTGGTTTTAGCTTGGGTATTACCCATTGTTGTGCTGCCATGGATATGGCCAGGAAAGAGATAAATTTACTCATACTTACCGTCATTTTCTTTTCCTGGTCATAGGCCATGGCAGCACAAAGATCCCACCCAGGGATATTGCTGTTAACTAGACTGAGGGAGGAGGAGGTAGGAGGGGGTATTTGTACCTTTATTTTAATTAGTTCCTGTCTATCTAGGGATAGGGGAGGAGCTGCCCATTGTTGTGCTGCCATGGCCTATGACCAGGAAAGAAAATTACGGTAAGTATGAGTAAATTTATCTCTCGCTCTCTCTCTCTCTCTCTCTCTCTCTATATATATATATATATATATATATATATACAGTTGCAAGAAAAAGTATGTGAACCCTTTGGAATGATATGGATTTCTGCACAAATTGGTCATAAAATGTGATTTGATCATCATCTAAGTCACAACAATAGACAATCACAGTCTGCTTAAACTAATAACACACAAAGAATGAAATGTTGCCATGTTTTTATTGAACACACCATGTAAACATTCACAGTGCAGGTAGAAAAAGTATGTGAACCCTTGGATTTAATAACTGGTTGAACCTCCTTTGGCAGCAACAACTTCAACCAAACGTTTCCTGTAGTTGCAGATCAGACGTGCACAACGGTCAGGAGTAATTCTTGACCATTCCTCTTTACAGAACTGTTTCAGTTCAGCAATATTCTTGGGATGTCTGGTGTGAATCGCTTTCTTGAGGTCATGCCACAGTATCTCAATCGGGTTGAGGTCAGGACTCTGACTGGGCCACTTCAGAAGGCGTATTTTCTTCTGTTTAAGCCATTCTGTTGTTGATTTACTTCTATGCTTTGGGTCATTGTCCTGTTGCAACACCCATCTTCTGTTGAGCTTCAGCTGGTAGACAGATGGCCTTAAGTTCTCCTGCAAAATGTCTTGATAAACTTGGGAATTCATTTTTCCTTCGATGATAGCAATCCGTCCAGGCCCTGACTCAGCAAAGCAGCCCCAAACCATGATGCCCCCACCACCATACTCACAGTTGGGATGAGGTTTTAATGTTGGTGTGCTGTGCCTTTTTTTCGCCACACATAGTGTTGTGTGTTTCTTCCAAACAACTCAACTTTGGTTTCATCTGTCCACAGAATATTTTGCCAGTACTGCTGTGGAACATCCAGGTGCTCTTGTGCAAACTGTAAACGTGCAGCAATGTTTTGTTTGGACAGCAGTGGCTTCCTCTGTGGTATCCTCCCATGAAATCCATTCTTGTTTAGTGTTTTACGTATTGTAGATTCGCTAACAGAGATGTTAGCATTTGCCAGTGACTTTTGTAAGTCTTTAGCTGACACTCTAGGATTCTTCTTCACCTCATTGAGCAGTCTGCGCTGTGCTCTTGCAGTTATCTTTACAGGACAGCCACTCCTAGGGAGAGTAGCAGTAGTGCTGAACTTTCTCCATTTATAGACAATTTGTCTTACCGTGGACTGATGAACAGCAAGGCTTTTGGAGATACTTTTATAACCCTTTCCAGCTTTATGCAAGTCAACAATTCTTAATCGTAGGTCTTCTGAGAGCTCTTTTGTGCGAGGCATCATTCACATCAGGCAATGCTTCTTGTGAAAAGCAAACCCAGAACTGGTGTGTGTGTTTTTATAGGGCAGGGCAGCTGTAACCAACACCTCCAATCTCATCTCATTGATTGGACTCCAGTTGGCTGACATCTCACTCCAATTAGCTCTTGGAGATGTCATTAGTCTAGGGGTTCACATCCCTTTTCCACCTGCACTGTGAATGTTTACATGGTGTGTTCAATAAAAACATGGCAACATTTCATTCTTTGTGTGTTATTAGTTTAAGCAGACTGTGATTGTCTATTGTTGTGACTTAGATGATGATCAGATCACATTTTATGACCAATTTGTGCAGAAATCCATATCATTCCAAAGGGTTCACATACTTTTTCTTGCAACTATATATATATATATATATATATATATATACATTTTTCCTGCTCTATTGGTCACTTGTCTCTTGATCTGTGAAGAAAATCAACAAAGATTTTCTTGGGCTGAACTTCAAATCCCAAAGCAAACCAACATGCTCAGCCATCACACAAGTCATTTGCCCATTTATGCATACGTATGGTGCTTTAGAGAAACAAATTCGGCCAAATCACAGATCGGCTAAATTTAGACAAATTGCAATTCAGCCGAAAGCGAGTGCAAACGTCTTGTACATTCTTGCCTAGAGTTAGCTCTGCTTGTATTGGTCGGTTATTCTTCTATTCTAATTTTCCACAAAACTATAATAAAGCATAAAGACCAAACAAACAAGTATTAAATAAAAATAATTAGCCATTTTAGCAGTGTGCCCATGGCACTGCAAAGCAAAAAGTTGGGCACACCTCTGGTACACAAAAGGTTAAATGGTGACTGTAACAAGGTTGTGGTAAAGTAAAGAAAAATCAAAAGCAGCTCTCCTGTTACAGAAATAGATTCTGTTTATGGCAGAGAAAAATGCACCCCCTTTATGTTTTCCTGCTATGCTTGCTATGTAAACATCATAAACATCACTTATCTTGATTTATGGTCATTTGCCACAGCCAGATCATCATTTGTCCAACAGAATCTTTTTCTGCCTTCTAGAATATTAAGAAGATAATCAGTCTTGAAATGGGTTGTAGAGTAAATGTATCACCTGCTAAGAGGAATTCATTTAAAATAAACCACTGTGAAAAAAATGTAAAAAGGCACGAATTCATATTCATACAGGAGAAGTGATAGAAGAATGAAAACAGATTAAATCTAAAAACACAAAGAAAAGATTAATGACAAATGCAAACAAAGAGATAGGTGAAGAGGGAGTTTCGATAGAGCCTGTTTGTGTTAGGAGGGGGTTCCTTACCATTACTGACAGGTACAGTGACTCCAGGGAGTAATAATAGAAATGATCCAAACTACTAATAATTAGGGGTGAGAGGATTAAGTAAAATAATGCCAGGTAGAGAAAGGGGGACAAGTGAAAATTGGTGTGGAATGCTAAAGACACACTTGTTTCTCTTGGATAAAAATAATAGCATGATACAGCTTCTGCTTTTCAACATAAAACGCTAATACATCTCATGGCAACTGGAAACAGCAGAGATGCTAAATACTCTGATGACTCATCCGTGGTCACACAACAAAACACATTGACAAAGAAGAAAATAAAAAATAAAATCTCATGAAGGGTCCAAGACACAATAATGACATTTCAGCTACTCTTAAAATTACAAGAATCTAAAGAATTGATGGAAAACGCAAAAACAATATCCCTTGTGTCTAAATTGAACACTCAACCCATAGTAATTGGTAGCGCTATCATCTACTTCCTAATGCCTGTTGCTCAATTTTTCTTATTCAACTATGTAAAATATTGTTTGAGACTGTTCAACAGTGAAATTAGCTAAAGTATTTCATTTAAACAGGTGTATCATATACATTAGACTTGTGCACGGCAAAAAACTTGTTCCAAAAAAACGTTTTGGTTTGTGACACTTCACCCAAACAAAGATTTGGAGGTGGGAAAAGCCTTCAAGGATTCAAGGCTTCAAAATGTCAGCTTTGATTGTTTTGTTTATAAGCTCTGACAGGCAAGTCAAGAAACCTACGTTTGAATATTCCTTCGTGAGAGGTGAGTTTGCCTATCATAGTGCTACTTACATGTCAAAACATGGAAAATACTTTATATAGCCTTCTGAAATGTCAGTGAGCCTTCTGATTGGTTGGCGTCTTTCACCAGTTTGAAATCTCTGCTAGTAGTGTATTAAATTTGTAAAATAGTGTTAGTGTGTAAGAGAACTTGTCTAAGCATGTAGGGGTTATTAGGCTGAAAAAAGTGGTCAAAAACATGTATACAAAACCTTAATATTGTAAACAAATGCTATAGCTAAATACATTCCTGCTCTATGATGGGTGTTATATGGCTACAAGCACATATTAAAAATTCAAAAAAGTTAAGATTAATTTTTGGCTTTATATTATTTGGCATTTTAAGTTGTGAACAAGCACAGCAATACAAGCCTATATCATCTATGTTGAACTATGGTCTGAAAAAGCAATTTTTTCTTCACCGAACATTTGCATCCTAAAACAGATAATATATTGATTGGGCCATTTGTTTGATTTGTGATCTATTTTGGCATATGCATTTTGAAATTGATCTGTGACATGATTTTAATGGATCTGTCACCTGTATTTGTCATTTCCAGTCAAAAACACAAGTTGACTTCCTTGAATCCAACTCTTTGCTAAACCGGCATCAGTCAGGATTCGCTTCAGTCAGGACATGCTTGTCACTCTGTCGAAACTGCCCTGGCCAAAGTATCCAATGATTTCATTGCTGCTAATACAGTGGTCACTAGTCTCTCCTAATTGTCCTTGACCTTTCTGCTACTTTCAACACTGTTGATCATCAACAACCTCTTCTCATCTTTTGTAATCTCAGTCTACGAGACTCTACTCTTTCTTGGTTTTCCTCCAATCTCTCACAGTGTTCTTTCAGTATTTCTTTTTCTGTCTCTTCCTCTGCAACCTCTCTCTGTCTGTGTTCCCCAAGGCTCTATCCTTGGTCCCTGTAGCGGATGGCACTGGGCTGTCCTGCAAATGTCTTGTGAATAACTGCATTCGTGTGATCTGCTGGTTTTCTATGTGTTTAAAAGAACTGTATTCCTCTGATTGTTCGGTAGTTTTATTCCCTTAGTTCATTCGAATGAAACTACCGAACAACCAGTCCCCCCATGTGTGAAGTGTGTCCTCAATTACCCGTTGCAACATTGTTGCGAACGGGTAATTGCCTAGTAAGTAGCCATCCTTTGTTCTCTGTGGTGGCCGCCATTCGACAAACGAACACGTGGCGGCGGCCATTTTAAAACTCCCGAACAGCGGTGTTTTGCCGTCGAGTGTCTGGAACTCAAATCGGACACTCGAGTAGGCGAACACCGCTGAGACCTCCACAAGCCCGGTCCGTTCGGTTCCTAACTACCGAACGGCCCCTCGTTCGGTAGATAGAAAGAACCGAACGAGGGGATTCAGGCGAACCCTCCCTAGCCTCTATAGCTAGAGGCTTTCGTGTATTTTATTCCCTTATGCCAGGACCGACCGCAGGGCCCATTCGCATGGAACCTTATTCGGCTATCTCAGTTAGTGCGGTCGGTCATTTTATTCCCTCCATACATTTCCCGAACCCCTGGTCTGATCTGGGTGATTTTTGGATATGTTGTTCACCCAGATCAGGGGTATCCGGGGATGTAGGATTTAAAGAGGTACCCCTACGTTTAGGGGTACATCCAGAAACGGGGGGAATTACTGTACTGGATAAGGTGATTATGATGCTGGCTGAGGGGAGGAGATGTGTGGGAGGTTACCAGGACAGGATTGGCTACTGTAATAATGAGTGTAAATCCCTCCCTTGCATGGGAGCATGCTTTAAAAGGAGACTGTGGATTAAAGCTTTCAGTTCTGCTCCTGAAACTGTGTGTCATCCAGTTATTGGGATTGCTGTGGGGATATTGCTGTTATTTTACCTGCTGGAAACCTTGCCTGTGGATTTATTATTTACTTGTTCCTGAGCCTCACTTGGACTACAAGCGGAGATACCCTGGGGAATATTGCATCTCCGCTACAGTCCCCTACTGTTCTTGTTCTATACTGCCTCTCTAGGTAAACTCATCAGCTCTTTTGGCTCCCAATATCACTTCTATGTGGATGACACACTAATCTGTAACACGCAGGCTCACTGCCTAGATGTTCTCTTTGACTCCAACATATCCTTCATCCCTCATGTCCAGTCACTAGCCAAATTCTGCTGTTTTTATCGCAAAAACAGTGAGAATGTGACTAAGGTACTGGCCAATGCTGCTATCATCTCTCAACTTGACTACTGCAATCCACTTCATAATTATTTTAGGCATTCCAAAGTGGCCACGTAACAATCTATAATGAATGCAACAGCGAGGCTCATCTTCCTGTCCAATTAAAGATATCTACAAATATAAAATAAATACAGACATAAGACAATTAAGGGTAAATTATATTGTTTAATTCCCTTCAGACACTTTTCCACTGTTTTTTATAATATTGCTTGCTGTCATCTTCCTGTCCGACTGCATCTCCCATTTCTCCGCTCTCAGTCAGTCCTTACTGGCTTGCTGTAAGATTTAAGGCTCAATTTAAAATTCTGTTGATTTTTTATAAATCTCTACATAGAGCTGTTCTTACCTCCCTAATACACAAGTATGTTCCATTCAGGCCCCTATTCTCTGCCGAAGATCTGCATGTATTCTCGTTTCGTACTCGCATCTCTGATGCCCACTTTTAAAACTTTTCTAGGCTGTGTTGTTTCTATGAAACTCCCTTCCCTTCCCCTTTACACTCTCACTCAGTCTCAGTTCCTTCAAATGATTATTAAAAGGTAATTCCTATAGGAAAGCATATCAATTAACCTTTTAATAGTCTTCCCTCCCAGCACCTTGGTAACCCACCATGCTTCCTCTCCTGCAACTGTGTCATCTAAAAAACTAAACCTTCATTGTAAACTATTCTAGTACTCTTTCCCATATTTAAATTACATTTCATCTTTACCTCTTGTGCCACTTTACCCCACTCCCTTTAGAATGTAAGCTCATTTGAGCAAGGCCCTCAATACCCTCTGTTCCTGTGCGTCCAACTCGTCTTGTTGCAAATACTTGCCTGTTAGTCCACCTATTGTACAGCGTACAGAATTTGTTGGCGTTTTATAAAT